TGGCAGCCCCATCAAGGGCAGGTTCAGACGCCGCAGCCCAAGGAGCTTCCATAGTGAATCTGTAGAAGTTGGTCACCAGGCCTTTCCTCCTACACTGAAAGTTCCGCTGAAACCTGTTCGGTCTCATAGCAGGATGGAAGCCTCCACCAACAGACAGACCCGGGAGTACAGGGGCTGGGAACCCCAGCCAGGTCTCCTGTCTGGGAAGTGAGTGCCCTGCTGCCACACCACTGCACCCTTCCAACCCAGAACCCAGCACTCAGACCAAACTCGCTGCCACTGAGACCAGGACCCTTCACAGAGACCCTCTATGACAGCGTAGAACTGCCCCTGTGGGTTTCCAAAACTGTGACTCTACATGAGTTGAATCCCAGCTTTCTCCCTCAGAGTGGAGATTTTGAACTGCTGACCCTGCGGTTAGCAGCCCAACATGTAACCAGCCTTGGGTTAAGTGTTTCTCCCATTGGGAGGAAACAGATCAAGTGGAACTGACTATGTCACTGTGCTACTTGCCCTGTGGTCAAGCAAGGGGTGGGTTTCTAACCACAGCCTGGGCTCTGAAACACCTGACTCTGGGACCACCCCCCCTCTGGAGAAATGCCCAACACCCCCTGATAACGGAACCACATCTACACATGGGCACCTCCTCACAGGGGGTATAAATCATGACCAGAATGCATGTTAAAGGGTCAGAATGCACCTTTAACAAATGAGAATAAGCGATAAGAGGCAGGGCTGGAGGGTCTGATAAACAGCCTTTGGGGCCATATAGGTCAGCTAGCATCAAATAGTTCACACAAAATGTCCTTCATCCTAGTCTGATGCCGGTCTCCAAAGTTCATGACCAGCCAGCTGAGTCACAACAATGAAGCTCCTTCTGTCCAGAGCCAAGGACAGTGAGAAAGCCACATTCCCGGAAGTAATTCCCCCCTGGCTTCTTGGAGCCCGAGACCAGAGAACCAGTGGCACTACCAACTGCTTTCACAGGGGACATAAGGTGAGCGGTTCAAACCCACCAGCTGCTCCACGGGAAAAAGATGAGGCTGACTGCTCTAGGAAAAATGTACAGCCCAAGGGGCACTTCTCCTTGGCCCTATAGAGCTGCTAAGAGCTAGAGTACAGTAGGTTTGAGTTTTACAGCTTTGGCTCTCTTTTTAAAAATAGAATAAAAAACACATGCATACAGTAAGAGTTTACATGAAGATGTCCATAAACGAAGGATTGAAAATCCAGAAAACACCCCATGGTTCCAATTTCCAGCCAAACAATAGGGTTTCTAAGAGGCAGAGTAACACTAAGGAGGGACACCTTAAAATAAACAACCGTTTGAGATCAAAAGGGCAGCACTGGCCCAAGGACACAGTTCGGAAGGTGAGGAAGGAGGACAGCAAACCAGTTTCACTGTAGGGAGGGCCATCAATGCGAAAGTGTGAATTACTGAATGAGGCACTGAGACCAGAGTAAATCTGTCCATCTTCACCTCACTCACAATAAAAAGTTACAACTCCCGGCAAATAGCAATGACCTCAAGGGCCAACATGAGAAATGATTAATGATCAGTCACACTGGGTACCCGAGGGAACAGCTCTAGTCAACCGGCGGAGGAGGGACACCACAAGCTGGCACTGACTCCATGGCAGCAGGTTGGTCTGTCTTTTTTGTACCAACATTCTGGGTGCTGTACAGTTCCGGAACGTGTCACAAAGAGCCCCAATCATCATAGTGTAAACACCTAGTTCCTAATGGTAGAGGAGCCAGATTGCTGAGTGGCAGGATGGTGGTTGGTGTTTTCTTCTTTAGACTTCAGTTTTGAACTTCAGATTTAAACACATCTCTGTAAAAATTCCGTCCCCTGAGCCCGGGTAGCTTCGAGGTTCTTTGCCGTGGGCTGTGATTCGGCAGTCTGAAACCACCAGACAGGGCAGGGGGTTCTACTCTCATAAAAGTGACAAGTCTCAGAAACTCACAGGGGCAGTTGTACCCTGTTCTACAGGGCCGCTATGAGTCGGCATCGATCCGATGGCAGTGGGTTTGGTTTTGGGGGCACATCAATATCCGTCGCAGTACTAATCATAAAAGCCACAAAGGAGAGACACCCTGTACACACCCATCAAACGACGTTGGGCACACAAACGTGATCTATACAGACAGTGGACAGACAGCTGCTCAGCTATCAGTAAAGCCCTGACGTGAGATGCCCGCTGGAGTTCTGTTAAAAAGGAGCACCAGCCTTGCCCTCCAAACTAACTTTTTCCATGGCACACTAGTGTTGTTTTGTTGTTTAAAACAACCTACAGAGACTCTAGGTGGATCCCTGTCCAATGGCAGAGACCTGTTTAGGCACATTTGATGAGAAGGGACCTGGGTGTGTATAGGAACCGGAACCCTACGAGTGATGCTTCTGGACTAAGCCCCTGGCAAGCCAGTCACAAAAGGACACATGACTACATGACACCCCACCCTCGTATGAAACAGATAACGACTTCTTCATAGTTAAGAGGAATAGTCGGGAGAGGGCACTCAAGGGTAACTGCTGAGGCGGCAGTGGGTGAGCTGATGATAATGGTGACGACATTCAGAAAAGGAGCATGCTCTTGGTCGCACAACATGAAAAATGCAACCAATGGCACTGAATTGTACACGTGATTGTTGTGCTGGTGAACATTTGGGTGGATCTGTTATAGGGAGCTTGAATTCCATGATCTGTTTTTTCCAGTTTACCACCGCCATTTGCAATCCCCTCACATTCCCGCCACAGGAGTATTTCGTATTAATTGCCCATGATGGCTCCACACCTGGTGAACCGACTGAACCGGGGCACACCAGCAGGTGGAACGGCAGGTATTTCGTCATAAATATTTTACCATGATAGACAGGCGTAAGATGAATTCACCTGTACTGCTCTGGAGAAAGATAGGGGTGGCCCCCAAAAGCACCTAGCCGGCTTCCCCCTTCTGGAGGTCTCACTGCCTCACTGCACAGACCAGCATTCGCTAAGAGACCCAGAGGCCCAGGCATGGGGTAGGGACAAGGGCAGCAGGACATGGCAGTGCAACTTTCTGGAAGCGCACCTCACAGGACCCTGGGCCTTAGGCAGTAACACAGGGAGGGCAGAGGAGAGGTCATGTGGGTGCGGGCCCTCAGGTACTGGGGTGGGGAGTGGGAGGCTGCCAAGCCCACCCTACGAGTATGGCCTCCAAGTGTGCCAGGCCAGCTCACAGGGTTCACTTAAAGCCATCCCATTCACTCCTCCAGATCATTTTCCAGAAAAGTCCACAGAGGAGTCATTAGCTCCTTATGTCACATGCTAGTCCAGAACCCATCACCTGGGGAGATGGACCTCGCCGCCCCTCTTCTCAGCCTTTGGCCTTCACCTATAGCAGGCAAGGGCTGGAGGCCTGGGCTGGCTCTCCCACAAGGGGCTTGCCCATCTGTGCCTCAAGCCCCTTCACCTCCAGGAGACTCATCTTCCAAACCGCCCAGTGAGCTCCCAGAGGCACACATGCTGAGCACTTGCCAAAGGGCCCTGGTGGCACCATGGTTAAAGCACTAGACTGCATACAGCCCACACGGTTGGCGGATGGAGCACCCAAGTTTACTCTGCGGTAGAGAGGCGGCAGCGGCCTGCTGCCACAGAGAACACCTTTGAAACTGCTGGGGGCAAAGCTACTCAGTCCTCCAGGGAGGGCAGGCAGCGGGCAGAAATTGCCTCAATGGTGGATTTCTACTCGGCCACATTTGCTAAAAACACTGTAAAGTATGTCCTTTTGCGTGACTCACGTGATGCTGCCCGTCAGTTGCAAATCTGATTTTTACCATTCACGTGGCAGGGACTTAAAAAGGCTGTGTCCTCCTGACCACCACAGAGAAGAACTCGGTACAGTATTCGGCTGGCCAAATAGCAGCAGCAGCAGTGGCCTGAAGGCGGTCTGTCCCACAGCGGGGTGGGCCTAAGTGAGGGCAGCGCCAAGAGGCTGGGGCTTGGGTGCAGACAGCAGACGGAGAAGAGCAGGAGGAAACAACGGCCTTCCACAGAGATCACAGCTAAAAGCCCAGGTGACTGGAGACTGAGAGACGGCCAGGGTCCCCCACCCGGTGGGCACATGGGGTCATTCCAAGGGAGAAGCTGAGGAGAAAACCAGGAACCCCCTGCATGCAACCCTCACCTACGGTGCTGGAAGAAGGAGAAACCCAAGCATAAGTAGCAAGAGAGAAGAGACGAGAAGGACCCATGCTGGAGTGCGGCAGCAGCGACCAGTGGCTCCCTGGTGACAGGACAGTTGGCAGTCCCCAAAGAGGCGCTTAGCGAGCAAGCGACTGGGCAGACAGAGCTGAGTGAGAAGAGGCTTGGGGGTTTGGCAAGAGGGTGGAAAAGGCGAGAAGGAAAGGCCAGTGTTAGGAGGGGAGCCCAGCCCAGCGGAGGGCAGGGCAGAAGGCTGAAGGCTGGGTGGGCCTGGAGCTGAGGGGACACACACTGAAGGCACACAGCCTAGAAAAAGACCCTGGGGAGGGGGCAAGAGGGCCATGAGAACACATGGGAGTCACGTGGTGATGGGGGCTGGGGGGGATGGGGACGGACAGATGGACCTGCACACGCACCAAGAAAAATGCCTACGAAACAGGCACCCAGAGGGACAGAGACAAAGATGCAGAGCTGAGCAGGGTGCAGGGGCAGGGGACTGGGGCGGTTGACCGGGGCCCATGCCATGTTCCCATCTCCCGAGAGACCTAGCTTGGCAAAGTGAGGTCAGGTATGCAGAAGCTGGGGAAGACAGGAAGGACAGAGCACAGACACACATTTCTCCCCTAGGGTCCACACTTCACATCCGGAGCACTCCAAGGGCTGCACCAAAACATGAACCCGAGGCCCCCAGCTGACAACCCCCTCCTAGCACCTGCTGCCTGCCTTGGCCAAGAGCCCCCCCTGGGAGCCGAGAGCAAGCAGGCCAGCAGCACGCCCCCACGATCTGTCAGAAGGGGAGGAAGGGTTCAATACTCACAGGAACAATAAGCCCTTGCCAAGTCAATAAATTAGCTTCATCAACCTGGATGTTACGGAAGTTTTTCATTCCACATTTGCGGATTTCTTCAAGCTCCTGTTGATCAACAAAGCACAAAGGGGTGTCAAACAGCGGAAGGCACCACACAGTAGACCCCTCCTGACTCCCGGGCCAAGTCCTGAGGACGACAGTGGGACAGCACAGAAGGAGCCTGGGCAGGGTGAGGAAGCACAGAGCTCCAGCCCCCACACTCAACACCAACAAGCCCCTCCAGCCCACCTCCCCTAAGAACCCACTGAACATGACACCTGCTCTCTGGGTTAGAGACCACTTCTGCCATCCTCAGCACCTGCTTGGGGCGGGGAATGGAGCCTGATGTCTTCCAGGCAGACTTCTTAGGCACCCGCTGACCTGGCCTCAGATGCCGCCTGAGGCTATGAAGAGGAATTCGGGGAGCAGGAACGAGAGGCAGGCATCCGATGCTGCTGTGCGCACCAGAGGGACCCCCACCTCAGGGCGATGCACAGCAGAGAGGAGATCCCTCTAGCTGGGCAGGGGGATAGAGCAATGGGAAGGAGAACTTGCCCCCAGCCTCAGTTTCCTCAGCTGCAAACCAGGGGCCAACACCCAAAATAGGGGAACTAAATCCCCTGCTGTCACGTTGCTTCTGACCCATGGTGGCTCTACACAGGGTTTCTGAGGCTGCCAATCCAGGTGGGAAGGGTCTCATCTTTCTCCCTCAGAATGGCAGGCAGGTTTGAACTGCGGAACTTGCAGTCTGCACTTACACTACACCTAGAGTGGCGGACAAAACCCAGCCCACCGCCCTCTCCAACTCACAGCGACCCTACAGGACAGGGCAGAACTACGCCTTAGGTTTCTGAGACTGTCACGTGTCATGAGCGCTGATGGCCTCAGCCTTCTCCTGTGGGTCAGAACTGAGGACCACTGCCACCAAGGAGCTTCCGAGGGGTGAATGACAAGAGGAACTTGGGGTCAGGTCGTAACAGACCATTTGGCCGAGTGAAGGGCTATTATCACACCGTCGGAGCAGCAAACACAGTTTCAGCCAGAAAAGCACGCCACTGTGATGACTTCAGAGCCCAATCAGACGTCCTCGGGCTGGGAGTGTCTTACTCCTTGTTTCTTAGACCTACACCAACCCAGGGGTTCTGTCGAGCAACCGTCAACAGACGTGCACCCTGAGCCACCACTGGCCGCATCGGATCCACTTCTCTGCTCCACTGGGGTTTTGGGGTGCTACCAGCTAGGCCCCGGCCCCCAGGCCTCCTCTCTAACCTGTCCATACCCACTGTAGAACCAAGATAAGCCCCTTCTGTGTGGCCACAGCAGCCTAGAGGCCGGGGGCTGGGACCCACACTCTCACAGCCCCGAAGACCCTCAGCGCCCCCATTCCCATCCCCCGGCTGGCAGTGTGTGAGACAATAAGGAAGGGTACCATTAGCATGGCCAGAAACGGTGCTGGGAGCAGGCTTGGCACACAGTAGAGCTGGAACAGGTTGGATAAACACACCCATGAAGACCATGAGAAACGCTGGCACTTCGGGCGGGACACAGCCACCACCCTCAGGGCCTCGGCAAGGACTCCGGCACAGAAATTCTGGCCAAGCAAGTCTATGGTGAAGCTGATACATGCTGAAGGTGACAGACAGGTCCCATTTCCACACCCCAACCAGCTGCACACTGAGGGAGCTGCCGCCAGTAGTGGCAACCCCAGCAAGTGGCTCACCAGGAATGACAGGATCCTGCATGGAGAGCATGGGCCTCAGGAGGAGCCCTGGGTGCTGCTGGGCCCTCCTCTGGGACTATCAGATCAGGTCTGGGCAGTCCGGAAGGGAAGTGCTGATACATCCTCACCTGCAGGCTACCCCATGCAAATAGAAGGGAAGGGGAAGGGAGGGATGATTCAGGAAGAGGTGGGGTGGTGGTTATAGAAGAAGGGAAGGGGGGAGCAGGGCAAGTACGCGGGACAGGTGTCATCACATTTCAGGCCACCAGGGTCCAGATCCCTGTTGCTACATTTGCTTGCCAAACTTGCTGCTGACTCTATGGCACAGGGCAGAAGTGCCCCTGTGGGTTTCCCGGATGCTAAGTCTTTACCAGTGTGGAAAGCCTTCTCTTCTTCTGGGAAAGGGCAGGTTCTTATAAATACAGTACTAAAGGAATGACAGGGGGGTTGCATTCAGGGGTGAAGCAAGGTAATTGTGAGGATGGCGCAGGACAGGGAGGAGAGGGGTTTGCCCGGTTGTCCACAGGATCACTGAGTCAGATCCACCCAGCAGCGCCTAACAACGAGGCTGCATTTGGGCTTTGTGATGTGTGACCTAAGAGTCTGAAGTCCTTGGCCAGTGATAGAAAAGATCACGTCTAGCAGGTCAGAGTTCCACCAAGATAACAAAAACTATAACCAAGTAACAGACTTAGGGGGGAGGGGAATTTTTTTACATTCCAGCTAGAACTCTGAAAATTGAACAATCTGAAAGAAGACGGGATGGAGAACTCACTAGCCACTACTCAGTACACTTCAATGACTTCAGAAATCCACACACCAACAATAGGAAGTCTGGTAAGAAACCAAAAAAACAAAACTCACTACCCATGAGTCATTTCCAACTCATAGTGACCCCACAGGGCAGGGGAGAACTGCCCTGTGGATTTCCTAAGACTGTAACTCTCTACAGGAGTAGAAAGAGGTGTCTTTCTCCCTCAGAACAGCCGGAGATTTTGAACTGGCAACCCTGTGGTTAACCACACAATGCGAAACCATTGTGTCACCATTGGCAAGAAACACAAGAAGGTAAATTCCACTCTGACAACAACAGGTGAGGTTATCGAGCACTGTGGAGGGAGCCCAGGGAGGGCACACACGCTGTGTTGGCATCGAGGAGGTTTCTGAGGATAGAGGCCGGAGGTAAGGGGAAGCCACACGTGCTGGCCAGAGATGACTGGGCGGTGCTATGGGCGACTGAGCAGGCAGGCTCTCTGA